CCCCCTCCTCCTCCTCCTCCCCCCTCCTCCTCCTCCTCCCCTCCTCCTCCTCCTCCTCCTCCTCCTCCTCCTCCTCCTCCCCCTCCTCCTCCTCCCCCCCTCCACCTCCTCCGCCTCCTCCTCCTCCTCCTCCTCCTCCTCCTCCTCCTCCTCCTCCTCCTCCTCCTCAAGGCCTGAGGGCTGTACCCGCTCGGATTACCAACATGATCTGCGGCCCACATAGGGAGGGGGCTGACGCCTGAGACTTCCTCGCAATTCACTCACAGACGAGGCTCCCGCTTAATATTTCCTCCATATTCAGGCCTGAAGAACCCAGAACTGACGACACTTACAGAATTGGATGATCCGCATCGGATTGCCAACGTGATCCGCGGGGCCCATAGGGAGGTGGTTTCCGCCTGAAATTTCCTCGCAATTCGCTCACAGACGAGGCCCCCGCCGAATACTTCCTCCATATTCGAGACTGAAGAGCCCGAAAGTGACGACAGTTACACAAATTGAATGACCCGCATCGGATTGCCAACATGATCCGCGGGGCTCATAGGGAGGGGGCTCCCGCCTGGACTTCCTCGCTGTTCACTCACAAACTAAGCTCCCGCCTAATATTTCCTCCATATTCAAGCCTGACAAGCCCAAAAATGACGAGAGTTACAGGAACTGGACAAACCGCATCGGATTACCAACGTCATCCACAGGGGCCCATAGGGAGGCGAGTCCCGCCTGAGACTTCCTCACAATTCGCTCACAGACGAAGCTCCCGCCTGATACTTCCTCCACATTCAAGCCTGAGGAGACCAAAAATGACGATACTGACACGGATTGGATGACCCGCATCGGATTGCCAGCATGATCCGCGGGGCCCACAGGGGAGGGGCTCCCGCCTGAGACTTCCTCGCAATTCACTCACAGACGAGGCTCCCGCTTAATATGTCCTCCATATTCAAGCCTGAGGAGCCCAAGCATGACGAGAGTTACAGGCATCGGATGACCCGTATCGGATTGCCAACATGATCCGCGGGGCCCATAGGGAGGTGGCTCCCGCCTGAGACTTCCTCGCAATTCCCTCACAGACGAGTCTCCCGCCTGATACTTCCTCCATGTTCAGGCCTGAGAAGCCCAAAAGTGACGACAGTGAGTGAGTGAACGAGTGAGTGAGTGATGATGAGTATGATGACGATGAGAAGTGTGTGTAAGTGTGTGATTGAGTGAGTGTGAGTGTAAGTGAGTGTGTGATTGATGAAGATGATGATGATGTTGATGATGATGAGTGAATGAAGGAGTGAGGATTGGTGAGCGATGAAGAGGGAGAGAGGGGGGGTGAGGACTGCGCGGGGTGTCCAAAGAAAACAAGACCCCCACTTTGGATGAGGCGGCGCCCTCGAGGGTTTCCGGTCGCGCTCCGCTCGCCCCTGGCAGCCGGGCGTTGTGGGCGAGGAGCGCCTGCCCGGCCCTCGTGCTCGCGACCTCCGGCGCCCGCATGTAGGCCGGGCCCAGCGCGGCGCGGAAGTCTCGGGTCGCAGCCGGGCTCGCCAGGTAGGCGCCAGGCGCGCGGGCCTCCAAGCGCCTCAAGCCTAAGCCTGCAAAAGCCAATCCGCGGGCCGCCTGATGCCACTGCGCGTCTGTCAGGTCCGCCGCCAGGAGATCGGTAAGCGCGCGGGGCTGGCGCATGTCGAAGCTGCTGAGTGCCTCCGAGCGCAGGGCTGGCGAGGCCGCGCGCGCTGTAGCAGCAGGAGGCCCACCTGCGGATGAAGGTATGCGAGCGCCGCCTGGGTGGGTTTGGCCTTGTCTGCTCTCTTCTTCGTGAAAGCCTCGCAGTAGGCCTGGTCGCCGATGGGCGCGCCCAGCAGCTTGAACCTACCCCGAAAGGCGATGCGGCTAACGCCAGTCTCAGCCTCCGTTAGCATGGGGGCGGGCAAAAGTCCGCCGAGGTCTGCGGGGGCACGTCCAGACGGGGCAACACGCTCGCACTTGCCATGGTTCAATTCCAAGCCGCGCTCCGGGCACCGGGGTTGTAGTAGAGCCACCGCTTGTGCCACGGCGTCCGAAGGGCCAGCCAGGAAGCCGTCGTCCAGGTAGACCGCGCGCAGGTCCAAGGCTTGCTGGCCAGCCAGTTCCTCCAAGACGTCGTACACGGCCAGGGCGAAGATGAGCGACCCTAGCGGGCCCCATTGCTGCCCGCCCGCCTGCGACGAGAGCCTGTGTTGGCCGAGGCGCAGGTTTGAGTGCTCGGCGTAGGTCCAGCGCGACCAACGCTCGATGTCTGGGAAGAGGGAGCGCACGGCCCACAGCACGGCTATCCTACTTCAAGGAATTGAAAGCGCTGACGAAATCCAGCTTGAGCAACACCTTGCCGCTGTCGCCGGCGTTCCTTTCGCACCACTGGCGCACGGTGTGAATCGTCGCCTCCGCGCCGAGAGGGCTACAGCAGCCTGTCTGCAGCGGCCAGAGGGTCCGGCGGGCACGGACCTTCACGTGCTCGCGGAGGACCTTGTCTGTTAAGCGGCGGAGGATCTCACCGATTGCGATCGGCCGGAGCCCCCCGTCCTCCTTTTCCAAAACGACCAGGCTTGCTCAGGCCAGGTGCGGCGCAAGCTGGTGGGGGGCGCCCCCGTTGGCCAGGAGCTCGAGGACGGCCGCGAGCTGCCCGCACAGGGGCGCCCGCGTGGCCGAAGGGAGGGCGTCTTGCAGGTGTTGCGCCCGCAGGCCGGAGGGGTGTTCAAGTAAACGTGTTGCCCGCAACCACTTTGGTAAGTCTCCATGACCTCACGAAACCGATGTCCCGCTCCGCGACAAAACCGCTCACGAGTAGGGCAGCCCACCGCGAGAGCAGACAAGACATGCCAGCCTTCGCGCCCCCAAGAATCACCTATGCCGTCGTTCAAGCTTGTGAAAACAAACGGTATGCACCTACAGGTAAAGAAGACAGAACGTCACCAAGACATTCACACAAAATCTTCACTCGCACGTCAACAAGTCCACTCTTGATGCGCACAAAAACGCGCCGTCCCCCAGCCCCTGCAGGGCTGGCCCACACACCCTTGATATTCGTGTTCGTCACCCCCGACTGCAACACGACCGAACACCCACAACTCCGATTCGAGAACGCCTCGGTCGTTGCCGGTGCCTCGGGAACTAGACGACCTAAGACCCGACGACTAAGGACTGCTTGTTCCGTCAGCCTGCTAGAACACTGCGTTCCTGCCAGTGGGATGAAATCATAGTTGCCCGTCTCCGCTACTACCTCCTCCATGCGTGACCCCGTCGCCGCTAGCGGGTCCAATCCCAGAGTACGCAAGGCCATCGCTGCAAGGCACCGGCAGCGCATGACGTGCGCGGGTACCCCCACGAGAGAACTAAACTTGAGTGCGGTGTGCCTCGCCCCCTGACGGACAACAAAAACTTGGACCAAGGGGGCTGGAGGAGGAGGAGGAGGAGGAGGAGGAGGAGGAGGAGGAGGAGGAAGAGGAACGACCGTACCTTCCGTCAGTCCAGCAGGCGTCCATGGCCCCATCGCGTGCAGCGCAGCGGACAGGCACTCCCTGCCCGTGGTATTCAAGAAGCGCGGCGCTGGGCGCGGCGGGCGTGATCACACGCAGGTTGGAGGAGGAGGAGGAGGAGGAAAAGGAGGAGGAAGGGGCGGAGGAGGAGGAGGAGGAGGAGGAGGAGGAGGAAACGGGAGACAAGGAGGCCACGTGCATCAGCACGCGACGACGCGCCGAGGCGGTCCGCGGCGGCGCGGCGCATCCAGCAGGGAGGACGAGGACGGACGGACGGACGCACGGACGGACGGACTCGCCGGCGGAGGGCGCCTCCGAGACGACTGCGCAAGGAGGAGCGGTGCCAACCCCTGGGCCCCCAGGCAGGTGGCGGCGGGTGCCGAGGGAGGGGGAGGGGGAGGAGGAGGAGGAGGAGGAGGAGGAGGAGGAGGAGGAGGGGGAGGAGGAGGAGGAGGAGGAGGAGGAGGAGGAGGAGGAGGAGGAGGAGGGGGAGGAGGAGGAGGAGGAGGAGGAGGAGGAGGAGGAGGAGGAGGAAGCACTGCTTCCACTGTTGTTTCCCGTGCCAGCGCGTGCCTCCACGGCGCAGCCGCCCGCCTCCACCTGCGCCCTTGCCAAGAGGGGGGGGCAACTGAAAGGGCAGGCGGCTGCGCAGCGGAAGCGCCTGCCGTCGCTCGGGCGCCCCTGCCCCGTGCGTTTCTCGGTGTCGTGCGGGGCGTGTTTCGCAGAGTGGCCCCATTGTGCTCCTCGACGGCCCTCGCCGAGAGAGAAAATGCACACGTCCGGGCGATGCCAGGAGCACGAAGCGAGCGGGGGCAAGTGGAAACAGGTGGCGGCACGTGAACGCGCGTGGAGAGCAGCTTGAATCGACTCGGTGCCACTGGAAGCAAGCAGAGACTTTTCCCGCAAGGCCAAGCCAAGCAGGGACCCAGACATCCAGCGGCCCGGCTTGATCAAGACATGTCCCCCGAGACCCCTCGACCCCTTTCTCGGGGGCTGTTCATTCAAAGTAGTTTCGTGATGGTGCCCGAAACCGCCCTCCAAATCCCCCAATCCCCCAAAAGGCGAAACACCTGCCGTCTCGGGTATGTCGAAACTCCTGGCATCTTGGAGCTCACTGGCGAATCAGGACAGCTGGGCTGGCTGGGGCCCGCGACGCACCAAAACAACGCTGGCCGTGGAGGTACTTCGGCGGAATCCAGGTCCCCCCCAGTCCCCTCAGCCCTCAGCCCTGGAAGCCCGACGAGGGCCAGGACCTATCGATCAAGTCTATCATCGAGCCGCGTGACGACACCAACGACAGCGACGACGGCGAAGGCGACGACAGCGGACGACGGACGACGGACTGCGGACGACGGCGACGGCAAAGATAACGACTATGGACGACGACGACGACGACGACGACGACGACGACGACGACGACGACGACGACGACGACGACGGCGGCGGCGGCGGCGGCGGCGACGGCGACGGCGACGGCGACGACGAGCGAGGAGGTCCCAGGGCCTTCAGGTCCTCGACGGCCTGGTGCTCGGGGGCCGCGCGCCCCGCCGCCTCGCGGCCGCGGCGCGCGGTGGGCACCTGTGGCGGAGCGGTGAAGATAGCGCGCCAAGCCGTCGCCACCGCTTGGCGTCGTCGTCGTCGTCGTCGTTGCCGTTGCCTTCGTCGTCGTCGTCGTCGTCGTCGTCGTCGTCGTCGTCGTCGTGGTCGTCGTCGTCATCGCTCGGGGTTCGAGGCTCGAGGCTCGAGGAGCGGAGTTCGAGGAGCGAGTCTTTCAGCGTTCATGGCCTTCTCGGGCCTCCGGAGGCCTCCTGGGGCCTCGGGAGGCGCCCGGGCGGGAGCTCCAGAGGCCTCCGGGACACTGGGGGCCTCCCCCTCCCCCTCCTGCCAGCGGCGCGTGGCGAAGTACGGGAGAGACGGGCATCGGCCTACAAAAAAAATACCCCGCAGCCTTTGGAAACCTTCTCCTCGGAGTGCGCAGCCGCCCCCCAAAAAACAAGGTAAGGGAAGGAGGATGGAAGGGGCAAGGTGGAGGGAGAAGGATGGAGCACGAGAGAGAGATTAGCAGCAGGGGGGTCGGGAGCAAAACAAATACAGTCGGGCTGCTGAAATAAGGAACGCCAAATAAGGAACGAAGCCCCTCTGCGGCTTCAAAAAAGCCTGGGTGCACGAAAGGGCTAGAGGAACAACCGCGGAAGGACATAAGGAACATCGAGCCCCTTCCGAATCCAAACTGTTCCTTATTTCAGCGTCTTGGCTGTAGCGGCAAAACCCGACGGGCGGGTCGGCCAGGCGGACCCTAACGGGCGGGTCGGGCAGGCGGGCCCAGACGGCGGGGCCGTTGAAGCGTCTGCACGCATCGCGAAACAGTCTTCAGCAGTAGCGCGATCCCCGAGCAAATCGCGAGGAAGTCCAAAGCGGGAGCGTGACTCCTGAGTGCTGTGGGCACGGCGCCCCAATACATTGCGAGAAAGTCCCACGCGAGAGCACGAGCCCTGCGTAAATTCTGAGGACTTCACGCGCGAGAGTGCTGAAGCGTCAGTCCTGCATGAATCACGAGAAAGTCTCGGGCGATAGCGCGATTGTCGAGCAAATCGTAAGAAAGTCTAGAGCGATAGTAGTTCCTGAGTGTCGATTTGCGACAGCGCGATTCTTTTTGTTGATTGCATCTTGATTGCAAGGAAGTCCGAGACGAGTGCGCGATTCTTCGCCCGCGCAAGACCGCGATGTCACGCACGTTGTGTAGAAGTGTAAGAGGGGACCCGTTGTTGTCGTTGTTGTTGTTGCTGTTCGGGGGCCAGGGGGCCAGTCTGAGCCCCCTGAATTCCCCTCGCAAAAAGCCAGGTGCGAGCCCCGCGAGGTGCACTTCGGTGGAAAACGCAATGGGTACCGGAGGAGGGATCAACAGTAACTTAGTCCCACCAGCTCTGTGGACTAAGACGGTTGGCAGACTTCTTGCGTCCCCGTCTCAAGGAATTTTTGCTCCCCGTCGAGGACGAGGTACTCCAGAGTTCGTAATAAAAGGGAGGGGGTCTCAACCCTCCCAGACGAGAAGTTTTAGACCCCCCCCCGTGGGAGAACCCTCCAAAACATCGTCCCCAGACCCCCCCAGGCCCTCCAAGATAGCCTGGAAGAGACCCCCCCCCGAAGTGAGACCCCCTCCCTTTTATTACGAAATCTGGAGTACCCTCCACCTCCCCTCTCTGAGATTTCACGGGGGGCCGAGATCGGCCAGGACGCCCCAAAGGGTCCAAGATGGCTCCAAGGGGGCCTCCGCTGCTCCAAAGATGGCCTCCAAGGCGGCTCAAGATAGCCGAAGATGATTCAAGATAGCTTCCGGCAAACCTACAAGAGGCCCGGCGAGGGCCACAAGACGTCTCCAAATGCTCTCCGAGCCCCCGTCAGGAACCAGGAGACCGAACTTATTCAAAAACCGGAATGAAATCTATGATATCTGACTTCTCGCCTTCTCGCTGCTGATCCGCTCTTGAAACCTCAAGATTGCTCCAAGATGGCCCAAGAGAGCCCCCAAGAGGGGCCTAAGAGGCTCCAGCAACGGCCCCAAGAGCGCCCAAGATCGGCCCAAGACCGTTCCAAAAGGGCCCAGGAGGAGATGTGATGGACCCAGGAGGGGAGCCCCCCCTCCCCCTTTTGATGGATTGCCTCCAAGATGGCCCCAAGAGGCTCCCAGGGCTGCCGAGGGACCCCAAAGAGGGCTCTAACAGGACCCCAGCAAGGGCCCCAAGACACCCCAAAACAATCGGGTTTCGGTTTCCGGCCATCCAAGGCGGCTGAAGAGGCTTCCAAGAGGCATCCACGGTAGCTCCAAGACAGCCCAAGCGGCCCCCAAGAGGACCCCACATCGGCCCAAGCAGACCCAAAGATCACCCAAGTGGCTCCCAAAGAGGGCCCCTAGACGGCCCTGAAGCGCTCCAAGATAGCAACATGATGGCCCAAAGAAGCCTCTTGGGCTGCCGCGGGCTGTCGGAAGCCCAACCATGCCAGGCCAACATGACGCCAAGATGGCCCAAGATGACCCAAGACGGCTCAAGGCCCCCCAAGACAACCTCAAGACAGACCAGAATCCTCCAAGACGGTTCAAGAGGTCTCCAAGAGGCCCTCTCGGAGAGCCCGAGAAAGCCAAAACCATTGATTGTCCCTGAAGTTATTCCAACATGTTGAAGTTCTCACCTGTTCGGGTTTCCGACCGCCCAAGACGGCCCAAGAAGCCCCCGAGAGGCCTCCAAGATAGCTCCAAGACAGCCCAAGAGGCCCCAAGGGGGCCCCAAGTCGGCCCCAAAGGATCCACAAATCGCACAAAGGGGTCCCAAAGAGGACCCCAAGACGGGTGTGAACCGCTCCAGGAAAGCACCAACTCGGCCTTGAGAGAAAGGCCCCCAAGACGGCCTCCATAGGCATCAGACGGGACAACACTCCCGTAAGACGACCCAAGAGACCCCAAGAGGCCCCCAAGAAGCTGTCAGGAACCTCTCGAAGCCCCCAGGAGGCCCCTAAAAGGCCCCAAGAAGCCTTCGCCGCCTCGTCCACATGTTTTCCTCCTCCTCCTCCTCCTCCTCCTCCTCCTCCTCCTCTTCCTCCTCCGTCTTCCTCCTCCTCCTCCTCCTCGTCCTCCTCCTCCTCATCATCATCATCAGCATCATCACCATTATCCTCCTCACTAGCGCGCGGACGAAGGCGAGGTCGAGATCCCGACCCGCCCCCAATGCAGAGTATTCGTCGGATTTGTGCCGTTCCTACACCCAGCCTCCTTCCGAATGCGCTGTTGCACAGGCACGGTGGCGGGGCTTGCCGTGGGCAGCTGGATTAGAGGGTACCCGGAAGACCGGTGGAATGATAAAGTTTGCAACACATGGGGGCGTGGAGTCTGCCTGACGGTGCGTGGAGCTCGCATGAGTGGGAAGGGGATGAGGAAGAAGAGTGAGAGGTTGAAAGGAAGGTGGCAGGAGAGGGCGTTTTAGGAAAAGCCCGAATCAAGATGTGGGAACGGGCGGGGGCAGCGCGAATCCAAGCTCTGCGGCGAGCTGCTCGGCCTCAGCCCTGGGATTCGCCGCTCTCTGGTCCAACTCCCCGGGCGCCCCCCGCCAGGGCGCTGGCGGCCCGCGCTCCGGAAACTCGCGCGAGGGCGGCCGCGGGAACAGCATGTTCAGCACGCGCACGGCGCGGGAAAACACTAGGTAGAGGCGCAACCGCCGCTGCTCGTCCGACACGCCGCGCGGCCAACGTCCTCATCCCTGGCGCAGTCGATAGCGACGCCTTTGCGCGGCGTCTGGACCTGCGACAGCGCGGAAGTGGGGTAGGATGCGCGCGCCATGGCAAGCCCCGAACGGCGCACGCCGTGCGACCCTGGGGTCTGCCACGTGAGCTCCTGCTCGCTGGGCCTGAACACGAGCAAGCTCCAAGCCTGCGCCTCGGCCTGGAGGTCGTCGTCAGCGCCTTCGGCGCCCTGCAGGAGCAGCTCGACGACCTCCTTATAGATCGGGGACTCTATAAAGCCGTGCACCTGCAGCCAGATCCCTTGCGGTAGGAAGCTGAGGGAAAAGGGCGGGCCTAGCCAGCACTCCTCGCACCGCTGCTCGTCTTCGGGGTGAACCCGAAGGACGCAAAGGTGGCCCGATGCTCCTACACGAACCCCAACTGCGAACCTCCATGCCGACGCGTGCCCGTAAAACGCCGTGAATGCCCCCCTTTTGTGCATGTCCGGCACGTTCAGGAGGCGCCGACCCGCGTCGGAATCGCAGTGGATCGTGTTGTACTCGTCCACGGTCTGCAGGAAAACGAAGGGGACGCCTAGACGCCTTGCGTCGCGACGACACCGCCCACAAGGAAGGGGCCCCATCGGGAGGGGCTTCCCCCCGCAGATTTCCTCATAATCCACTCACAGACGAGGTTCCCGCTACAAACTTCCTCCAAATCCACGCCTCAGGAGGCAAAAAGTGACGACAGCCACAAGATTCGGATGGCCCTCCCGGATTGCTAACATGATCTGGCGGCCACATAGGGAGGGGCCTCCCGCAGGATATTCCCTTACAATTCAATCACAGCCGAAGCTCCCGCTTGAGACTTCCGCAAGACTGACGTTTAAGTATGTAAGCGCGAGTGAGAGTGTTGATGAGGTAAGGGGTACGTGTGAGATGATGATGATGATGCTGCTGCTGCTGCTGATGATGATGATGATGATGATGATGATTAGGATGATTATGATGTAGGTGGTGATGGCGTGAGTGTGTTTAAGTGTGCGAGGGTGTGGGAGGATGATGGTGTGATGGAAGATGACCGATGATGATGATAATGACGATGACGATGACGACGACGATGACGGCGATGACGATGCTGATGATGATGGTGAGGATAGTGGTGATGATGATGACGATGATGATGAGGATGATGATGATGATGAGGATGATGATGATGATGATGCTGATGATGATGCTGATGATGATGATGGTGATGATTATGATTATGATGATGATGATGATGATGCTGATGATGATGCTGATGATGATGATGATGATGACGATGATGATGATGATGATGATGATGATGATGATGATGATGATGAT